TACCAACGAATAGTGGGATTGACCGTCACATTATAACACCCCCAAAGCTGAAAGGACGAGCATGTTTGGTGGAACGGGGATTCAAACCCGCAGATTGCGAGTCGAGCTCCCTAACCACCTGGCCATGCCGGGCCTATTTAATCTTATAATGGAGTCTCTTTATTTTATCACAAAATTGTTCAATGGACGTTTTAATTTAAGTTCAGTGTGACGATCGAACCCCGAATTTTCAGCCATAAAGGGTACTTAATAGAGTAATAATATCTTATTTTACGTAAATTGAACAAATCTAAAATATTCTATAACGATGCGTGATGTTTAAGTGCATAATAGTACTGCTTTAACTTTTTTTACTACTAATTTTCCTCTAGTAACCTTTTAATCGAATTTTAATTGTTTAGGGGTCAGATACCCCACCGGTAATTAGTGCAAGTTAAAACTGTGGCAATTGCAGTGTGAAGGTTCAAAAGCACATTATTGTAATACGTTTTAACTTTGGCCATTTTGCTGATTTAAACATTAAGCTCTATATTTATTATTCATCTATACATCTAACTTATGAAACTATATCTCTGAATGTTTCAGTCATGTTAGCAGTCGGTGTCAAGGAGTCATCTAGATTCAATAATGTATTTACTGTCCTGAACTTAGCTGTTGTTCTGTTTGCTGTCATAGCTGGAGGCTTCAAAGCTGACATAACAAACTGGAAGTTGTCCAAAGAAGAGGTAGGTTCTATGCTTTCTATTATTTTTACTAATTTAAGTATTTTATATTAATTGCCATGAATATGGTTATAGTGTCAAACTGCTTGTGTCATTGAAGTCAGAGTTAGGATCGGCTTCTATGTGTCGTATATGCATGGGATGGATTTGATTAGAATTTGTATTGCTTATATGCTCTTTTTGTGTGTGTGTTATAAATTTTACTAATATTCATAAAAATATAACACATAATCAAAATCAGAAAACTTTTTTTTCGCTATAAATGGAATTAATTTATTAAATGTATGAAGATAAAATATCCTTGAAAAATCAAGAATAAAATTAAAGTATTTTATAAGAACTCGAATATTAGAGAAGTAAAAATGTTAGAAAAACAGAATGTTCTCTGTTTTCATAGTTCGTCAGTTGGTGATACAACTCAGGGGTGGGCCTTTTGTATTCAAGATGATCCAAGGAAAGTATGCATTTGTTTTTTGTTTTCAGGAATGATGTGAGTATTTTACTCTCTTTGTTAGGTTCCGGATGACGCAGGTGAAGGTGGGTTTTTTCCTTTTGGCTTTTCTGGCATGATGCAGGGGGCTGCTACCTGCTTTTACGGCTTTATTGGATTTGATGTGATAGCAACAACAGGTAAATGAATGTCTGATCCCTCTAGTGGTAATTAATCACATTAACATTATTCTATCTAAAATCTTCACTTTAGAAGGCTTCTTTTCAGTAGATGACGGTTCTCTTCTAGACAGGTCTCACGAATAAGTTCTCCGTTGTTAATAATTCCTAATAAAAGTAAGATGTGTGTGTGTTAAACAACATAACCCAGTATTTCTTTTCTAATAATTAAATGTTTCACGATAATATTCTAAAGCTATGTAGCTTAATATGTGACAATGTTTTCTGGTATAACAACTCATAAAGACTCAGAGGTTTCCTAACTTCGAGAAGTATCTGTGACGTCACTAACATTTTTGTAGTAAAGTGTCATACATTAGATATTAACAGTTTTCTCGACAAACGTTAATAATATAGCGAATAATCAAAGATCCCTTGGATGGTGATTTGAGTAATTTGTTACTTTGACAGTTTTATAGTTTGGCTCATTCCTCTGTATCAAGACAATGTCAAGAATATTAGATGTTATAATATCATTTGGAATGTTAATAACATCAGGTGACAACTTTATAGTGCTTATACTTTTAATTAAAATCGCTTTTTAGAGCAAAAGTTGATACCGTTATTCCACGTCTTAGTTCAATTATCATTTCAATAAACGTCTTTGTATAGGAAAATCTCTTCCTTGTAGTCCTTCAAGGTTTATACGTCTTCTAGGTGAAGAAGTGAAGAACCCACAGAGAGCTATTCCTATTAGCATCGTCTTATCTTTGCTATTTATTTTCTTTGCTTACTTTGGCGTATCTTCAGTCCAGACTCTAATGTGGCCTTATTGGGACCAAGACCAAGCTGCTCCCCTTCCGTACGTGTTTCAGATGGTGGGTTTGCCCTGGGCAAGATGGGTGATAGCGATCGGAGCTCTAGCTGGTCTCTCTACAAGGTACAATACCTCTTTTATTATTACAGTCTGTATATCTATAGAATTGTGTAGTGATTACTATTGTTAGTCAAATTTATTAAAACCATTAAACTTTTACCAACTCAACTTTAAGAACAGTGAAAATTCTTGAATTTAAGTGATAACTACAGCTACATTAACTAACGTTTAAAATTTCTCAGCCACGAGTTCCAAAATAACATCTCGACTGATGGATTTTTAGCATTTCATATTGTTTACTTATATATAACTAAATTTGTTATGGTCAACATTGATTTCTCCGCGCTATATACCAAATCAGTTCTCTCTGCTGCAAATTCCGGCTCACTCCAAAAAACTAAGCATATTACTTTGCTCCACAGTCTTCTAGGTGCCATGTTTCCCTTGCCTCGAATCTTCTACGCCATGGCCAGCGACGGCGTCATCTTTCGAACATTAGCCAAAATAAACCCTAGACTTAAAACGCCTCTCTTGGCAACAGGAGTGTCTGGAGTACTCTCTGGTTAGTAGAATATAGTGACGATATTCTAATTATATTTTCTTAAGGATGACTATAAATATCTAGTTGTATATTACAAATAAGAATAATCGTATAATTCCATAGTAATTACCCTTGTCCCCGAAGGGGGCGGGGCGAGGGTATTGCAATCAGGTCCGTGTGTGTATGTGTTTGTCTGTGTTTCCGCGCGCGTATCTCGAAAACTGATAGACCGATGTACACGTATAAACTGACAAAAATAATAACAGAAACAGACGTTATACCAGAAATCAAAACAACAAAAAACAAAGCTCCAGGAGAAGATGGCATTCAGGGTATCCTCCTCAAACGAGGCACTCGAGATTGCCTGAACATCTAACAGCCCTTTTTAACTTATATTTAAATTCAGGATATATCCCGGTTTCTTGGAATCAAGCGATCGTCTTAATGTTCCACAAAGAAGGAAAGCTAGCGAATAAACCGGACAGTTACCACCCGATCAGCCTGACCAGATGCATAGGAAAAATTTTAGAACGCATAATTAACAATAGATTCTCCACATTCTTGGAAACGACTTCAAAATTACCAGAAACTCAAAAAAATGATTTATAAAATCCAGACGAACTACAGACCACTTACTTAGAATAACCGAATCAATCATAGATAGTTTTAATATGATACAATGCACTGTCGCGTGATTTCTCGATATTGAAAAGGCATTCGACAATGCCTGGCATAATGATCTAAGGTTCCATGGATCAGAAATGGAACATGGAATTATTCGCTGGCTATCTAACTTTCATGAAGTGTAAAGTTAACATAGGAGGAATCTTATCGGAATCATTTACTCCAGATGCAGGTGTTCCTCAAGGAGGGTTAGTTAGCCCTGTCCTATTCATGGTGTATGTTAGCAATATGCCACTAAAGGACCCAAATCAAGGATATTCCTCACAATTTGCTGATGATGTTGCAGTCTGGAAAGTGCGCTCACACTATAAATAGCAGCAACAAATTTACAACTCCAATTAAACAATATTGAGGAATATTGCTAAAAATGCCGAATTAAGATAGACATCCCCCAAAAGCAATTGGTAGTATTTACAAAACAAATAAAACACCAAAACCTATATATGAATGGAACACTTCTACAGACAGCAGCTTCAGCCAAATTTCGAGGATTAACCTATAATTCTAAATTAACATTGATTAACCAAATAAATAACATTCTCGAAAAACTTTGGCAACGCACAAGTTATGCTAGGAATCTAACGGGTAAAAACTACGGAACTTCAGCAGACAACATAATCAAATTCTACAAAAGATACATAATATCAGTAATTTAATATGCATGCCCATTATAGATATATGTATATATATATATATATATATAGCACCAAAACATATTAACAAATTATAAACAATACAAAACTCATTACTAACTACAATACACAAAGTACCAGAACCAGTTCATCAGAATTTATGCATAAATATCCAAACTTACAAACACTCTTCGATAGACTCATACATAATTTGCTAAATTATTTTACGCAAAACTGGCATAAAAATGACCTACTATGCGAATTAGGTCGCTACTGCATACATGAATAAGATAGACCTAATTACCTCTCACCTATTAATATGTACATTATAAATAAGCACTTAATAAGGCCACCATAAACTAGACTAAGAAACCGACATTAGTTTTAAGCTGCTATGACAGCATTAATAGGGTAATTATATATAATGCTCTCGGGGAGTAATTAAAACTAATGAAAATCTGAATACACAAGTGGAACTGTCCGCCATGTGCAGAACTTTTGCAACAGCGAATAAAGAGAAAATGTGCTTATTCACATGAATATTACTGCAATTACACACATGGACATTACCCTGAAAGGGGTCAGATTATCCTGCACTTACTCATATAGTAATTATAATAATATTCTCCAAAAACCACTTACCATCTATCAGGGAGGAGGAAAGGGTCAAATGCACCCCCCCCCTCCAGGTCTATAAGACCTAAACTCCGATAAAGATCGACGACGAACATTTTACTCAATATGGGAAGTCAGTATCGAACAGTCGTCCACAAATTTGATCCGGATCCGGATTCTGTTTCACTTTGAAGCATTTTCTATAATTTGGAGATAGGGCATTATTGCGGTTTTAAATTAATAACTCTGTAAAGTGTGATCGTATTTATACCAAATTCCATGGATACATTAAGGTTGAGACACCTCATCACACTACAAAAAATGATCCGGATCGTTAGCATTCTGGATCTGAAAAGGATTTTCTGAGTTTTCGAAGGTGAAATTTGACGTTTTACAATATAAACGCATGCAATTTTGAAAAGGAGCGGCGGAACGAGGGTATGCAAATCTCTCTCTCATTGTTCTTGTTATACTAGAAATGGTATCTTTGTCACGGGTAACTCTAAATTTGAAGTATGTGAAATGAAGTTCTAATTTATAAGAAATAATAAAATTAACCCTATTAAACATTAATTTTTTATATTTAAATGTATACAACACTTTACGATTTAAGCATATTGTAGATTTGCATTTCATCTGTGCTACAACTTTGATTAAATTTTCTTTATTACTAGGGGAAATTTTAAGCATTAATATTCAGATTGTAAACAAGAAATATTTCTAATTATTTGCTATTTTGTTTAATTAAAATTGTAATACTGTTAATAATTAAGAAAAAAGGTTACCAGTGTCTTGTTTAAATTGGTTTCTTAGAACAACCTTAAGAATAACGTAAAGGAAAACAATAATAAAAGGAGCGAAAAATTTGAGATTTTTACTAAAAGGAATAAACGTTATATTTGAATAAATAAAAATAATTTTGTCTAAAAAAAATCAGTGTTATGATAGCTATATTTTGGAAAAGTATTGTTAAAACATATCAGACAAAAATATGTTCGGTCACACCCAAAGGGTTACATCTGATGACAAGGTTTGGCTATAACTGAAAAGAAAAACAACTAACTATGAATAATTATTATTTTTGTATTCCAGGAATTATCATTGCGGATTTTTTTTTTCTGTGTGTGTAAATTAATGATATTTACGGTTCGAAATTTCGCTTTTACATCATTATCAATGGTTACAAGTTGTTGACGAGGCTCAGATATCATTGCAAAAACAATAATAATCAAATAGATAACTGAATAACTATTGTGTAAGTGTAGTGATAACCTTGAAATGTATTAGACCTATACGTTCGTATTATATTTTCAATTTTACCTTTAGGGAAAAGATAAGAGATCTGTAATACAATCATTAAACAGTTGGTGATTTTTAATTGTAAAACATGATTCGGTGACAAACTCCCTTCTTCAAATTATCATAATTCTATTATTGTGGCCCGGCATGGCCAGGTGGTTAGGACACTCAACTCGCAGTCTGAGGGTTTCGGGTTCAAATCCCCGTCACACCAAACATGCTCGATCCTTTCAGCCGTGGGGGCGTTATAATGTGACGGTCAAACCCACTATTCGTTGGTAAAAGAGTAGCCCAAGAGTTGGTGGTGGGTAGTGATGACTAGCTGCCTCCCCTCTAGTCTTACACTGCTAAATTAGGGACGGCTAGCGCAGATAGGACTATGACAAAAAATTAACATAACACCTCCAACATGAAAATAAAACACAGATAAACCAAGATTAAAGAAGACAATTTTCCAAAAGCACCATAAAAAACTGCTTTTACAGCACCTTTTATCTCCAAGGAAATAAAACAATAATCAAAAAATCAGAGCTGCCGATTACAGTTACAGAACGACTAAGTCGAATTCTCAGGAGTCAACTTTCGAAATCTCAGTACTTTACTGAAGTGTAATAAAACTAAATGTCCTACAAAAAAAAACGTGTTTACAATCTAAAGATGTCTTGCTGCTAATATTGTTTCTCAACTTACATGTATACTCTACCACTGTACGTACATTGGAGAAACTGCAAGAACCCCACACACAAGGATAGGAGAACACGTTGACTCTCTTTAAAAACAACAACATGAAAGAAACGCAGTTTTTAACTAATTGTGGCCAAATAATTACTGGTATGGAGCCACCATTCCCTTTAAAAATCCCAATAGAAAATTTAAAGAAACAATTTTCATCCAAGAACTACGACCACAAATGAACAGGACAAAGGATGGTACTTATACTTACAATTTATTTTTTATCTTAGCTTTAGTTACTATACATAACAAGTTATATATTCAACACTATAATTATTTCAGCAGTTAACTTTACAATCTGTAATGTCAAACTCACTCTATAGAATCAATTAAAGTTAATTATTTAAACCAATTGAAGGTTTACATTGTTATTTACAGTTTGTTTGTTTTTTAGTATAAAGCTCCTAAAAAAACTGTAAAACTAAACGTATAATGTCTAATTGAATCTAAAAATTAGTGTGTAATAAGGTCGTTTATAACTAGAATTAAAATACCGATGTCCTGAAAAAAAATAAAATAGAGAAATAATAGAGCTCGGTCATTTGATTGGTTATTTTAGAACATAGCTATATTAGCCTATCTGCTGTACCCACCGATGGAAATGGAACCCCGGATTTTAGCGTTGTAAGTCCGTAAACTTACCGCTGTTCCACCGGGGGACGAAGGAGCTCGTTAGCTATAATACTCATTTTAAACATATTTAAAACATAACAATAATAATAATAATAGAATTATGTTAACCGCAGAAAGGTTTGACTTCATTAACTTAGGGACCATGTGAATCTATTATTTAAAATTGGTTTTTCTTTCCTGATAAAGATACTTTCAGTTAGATAGTCCTCAATAAACTACAACATTTTTATGAAAGTAAATTGCTTCTACTTTTATACTTTCAGTTATTTTTATATCAACGGAATTGAATGTTTTGAAAACTATTTTTGTAGTTAAAATAATATTGGGGATAGGTTTATCGTAACGTTAACAATCGTAGTGTGAACCGAAAGGTCGATATTCATCCCTATTCTTTTAATTCTGGCATGTTTCACCAATATAATGTTGCCTGGACAACTTACACGATAGTCTATAAGTTTTGTAAAGCGACTTCTTTACCTTCCAGTCCTGAAATGCCAGTAATAAGGTTTTTATCCATCTATAAGATTACCATGAACATCTCAGCAGAAACATGACGGCTGCTGTTCATCGATTCTCAGATCAAGTTGATCTCTGATGGTTCCCGAAGCACGAGTTGTACATTGGTGTTCTTTTAAACTTGGATTCTTGCACAACCAGTTTCAACAAAACAGTCGATTGTTGATTAGTAATTGTTGCGAGCTCGTCGTAATGCCTCTGATAACATTATCGAACAAGGGCGTATATGTATGTATGATTAAAACAACAGCTTCAAGAAAAAGGCTACAGAGCTTGCACCAGTAACAAAGGGAAAAATAAACCTGGAAAGAAAAAGTTGTCCCAAAATCTGATTTTACTTTATCACTACATAAGTAGTGGAGTTGAAAAAACCATAATGCGCGGTGGCTTTAAAGTTAGACTTGCGGAAAAGTCAGATTCTACATCTAAAACACTTGTAAAATCAATGTTTCATCTTTTTCCCTGTCCGGGTAAAAACTGAATGTTGGTAAAGACCGCAAGACGTGGAAATAATAAATGAAATATTGGAGAAAAAGTTAAAACACTCGTTTAGAGCAAAAACTTGTTATATTTGCTACGTTTCGGGAGTATGCCCTTCGCCAGGCTTAGTAGCTTTTACTAACTAAGCTTGGCGAAAGGCATAAACCCGAAATGTAAGAAATAAAACAGATTTTGACTTCAGATTTCTTTAGTTATCTGGATGAAAAGTTTCCAGATAAGCTTCTAATGGACGTGTGATATATCATCAATTATATACAAACGTTCCCCAAAATGGAATAATTGAGAATACATGAAGATATTGTTCATACATTTGGTTTAAACTTAGGAATTGTAAAACTACTTGACTTCAAACTACGAAATATATTTGTTGTCTGTTTTGGAGATTATTTTTATCTTTAATGAATGACAGTTGCCACTGAGTCTTTTGCTATCATTTTCACGCACTTTCTTGAAACAGGTATTCTCTTAGAAAGTCCTGTAACACCAGCATTCTATAAAAGTTACATAAGTGACATTTTTCTTTGTCTGGAATTGCGACCAGGTGGGTCTTAGTAAATGTTTTGTTTTTGTGAACAAATTTCATCCAAATATTAACTGTGACACCCATTGTGAAAAATATAGATTTATTCTGGATTTTTAGAAAATATCTTAAACCAGTCACTGCCTTTTATACCATTATATCTGAAAGAGTTTAATACAATAGGTTGTAATGGTGTATTCTTCTTGGGAATGTTTGGAAGACGGTATCGTCTAGAGTGATGAGGTATCAGAGCTGTTCTTAACGTTTCATGCCACCCTTTTTTTTTTTTTACTTCTTCAAGTGAAATATTTATTTCTTAAACTTGAATTTTTTTGTAAAATAACTCAAGAATCAACCTAAATAAATGTGGTTTTATTCTATCAAAAATAAGGTAAATGAAACGTTAAGCACAACCTTGATACATCGTTGTTTAAATGATATTTTCCATTTAAGTATACTGGTTATGTTTATATTGGGACTATATATTCGTGAATGTAAAAGTATGTTAGGTTTGAAATTTAAACTTCGAGAAATAAGTATGTTGTCAGTATAAAACGTATTTAATTCAATCTCTATATTATCCCTGTCACGTGATAAGAACAATACTTAATATTTCAATATTCGGAATATATTCTTGTATGTTTGGTAGGTGTTATGGCAATGATGTTTGATATCAAGGAACTCGCCGATATGATGTCAATTGGGACACTTTTGGCTTACTCATTAGTGGCACTCTCAGTTTTAATACTAAGGTAAGTTGCTATGAAATTTGATATAAAGAACATCTTCTATATAATTTCAGTCGAAACACTTTTTTTGTTCACTAATTAGTGCCCTATATAGTTTGATACTAAGGTAAATGATATGGCGTTTGATATCAAAGATGTCGCCAAATGGTATCAATTGGACAAATTTTGGCTTACTCATTAATGGCATTTGCAGTATGATACTAAAGTAAGTTTTCGATATCAAAACATTTATAACATAATTTTCTCCAAAGCTATACAACGAGCCATCTGTGCTCTATCCACCAAGAAGAATCGAATCCTGAATTTTAGCGTTGTAAATCCGTAAATCTTGAATACATCCAGAAAAACTGTACATTTGTTCTACTTCCCTAAACTAGTGGAACTTCGACAGATTCCAAAATCTAGATTATTCAAGGTGCATTTATAAGCACGCGATTGAAATGAGATGAACATAGTGATTTGAGGGAATTTATGAATATGGAACACATAAAAGAAACACAATTTTAAATTATTTTTTAAGTGGACTAATAGTGTGATAAATAGCGAGCTAATAATTTTGAATATATTAATAAATAAAATATAGCTACCTCGTACATTAAGTCATAAAAAGCTTAAAACGGCTATAAACAAGGTTTTCGAAAAAAAAAAGAGTTCATAAAACATAACTACGTTTTACTTTGTAGTATCATAACATAATCATGTAATGAAATTTTATGCTCTCTCCATTTTTTTAAAACCTCGTTTCTAACTGTTTTAATTATTTTTACGGTTTAATATGTGAGTTACCTCTATGTTATTTATAAAAAGGAAAAATAAAAATAGAAAACAAATAAAAACAACTTGCATACTAAAAGGGTTTGAAAGGTCAATGATGATGCCATGTTAACGTGGTGATAAATATTTTACGTTCTCTTTTTCTAATGTTGTTTTTAGCAAGTTATAATGTTTTTAAGCTGTTTGTTTTGCTGCTCACCTAAATGTTCCAGTCACGTTATCCTGGACAACTTATCACAAGATAGCCACAATTACGGGATCGATGTGGAACGAGTAATCGGGGGAAAGTGTTACAATCAAAGTTCAAAAATATAGTGAAGAGAAAAAGACAAAAATAAACATTTCAGATATTAGTGATGCTGCAGAATCTTTTGCCTGTCTTGTGTATAAATATTTCGAGAGATTTTTTTTTTTAATGACCACTATTCAAGATGAAATTATTAACACGAGATTGAAAGGGGATGCATGTAATACTTTGAGGAAACCTATGAAGAAGTAACCCATGAAAGTCAGGAATAGCAACCCAGGCTACCTCCTCAAATAATAGAATCAGCAGAATGAGTTACATTCACTTATTTCCTGGTTCGGATAAAAAATTAAATAATATAGCAGGAATGATCCGGGAAATAAGGTGCGCTGAGTTTTTAGGGAAATTCACTCAAAGCATAAATGTGTTTAAGATATAATTTGTTAGTGTCTGCAAACAACAACATTACAGAAGATACCTTCTACGTCAAAGTAAGAGATGTCATAGCTATCATCAACAAGAATGTGATATCTGTGAATACAAAGAAGAAAAAGATTATCCAAAGTCGCAAAAAATAATTAACAGGTTATCCTGGAAGCTGTAGTAGAACACAATATTTGTAGAATAGAAATAGTATTAATACCAGTAGAGTTCTATTTGACGCTAATTGGTCAACGTGTTTGTCTAGACGTGATTTAAAATAATAGAAATGTGTCTGAATAAATGAATCTAGAAACTGGATTACCGAAAACTTTAAATTGTGACAAAATTTCAGCTAAGTAGAAAACTGATATACAACATTGGTTCTAAACATAGATAAAGGATTTGTTCTTGGAGAAACCTCCCTCGTTGGAACAACGGTAAATCTCTAGACTTACAACGCTCAACAACGGGAGGGAAGAATAAAGATACCTGACTTTATGTTCTTATTACCTTGAAATAGTTTCATGATATGTGATGAGAAGATTACAATTCTAATATGCCAACTTCCGCATCTGAAGTAGAACTTGTGACAGGTATTTGTTATTACATCTGAAAATGAAATATTAATACGCTTGCAGATAAACAAACAAATTCATCACAGTTTCTGGTAGGGATGTGCAGAGTAATGAAGCCCGAACTCTTGATCCAAACATCTTTTTATTCAAAGAACCTAAGTAGTCCCCAAAATCTGTAAAGTTATTATAAGAATTGTTTTTTATTATTATTATCTTTGCGAAGTCGCGAGTTTATTGAAAAGGGGTTTATTTTTTTAAAAAGTTCTTCGGAATCAAAGGGGAGTGTGTTTGCACTAAAAACTTTGCTAAATCTAATTTTTCAAGTTTAATTGTATGTGGCTTGGGAACCAACCTGTAAACTATCAATGGTATTTCCCGTTTTAACTCTGTGTGTAGTTTACAATGAATGAGTCTGTTGAGCTGCGAACAATCCCTGATGGATCTCACCAGTTTCAGTCTAGCTAAAAAACGATGTCAGATATTAACGGTACATGGGCGGATTGGCACACCGAGACACTGGGCATTTGCCCGGTGGGCCGGTGATTTGGACGCATTCTTATAAAATTATTTTAACTTTTGATACAGCATGTGACATTGCCTTGACTGGACCTTTAATGCCAATCCACCCTGCAAAGGTATGGAATGTTTTAAATACAAAAAAATGTGATGAATTTTTGTGCGTATTATGACTGTACCCCTGGGATACTCGAAATGGTACGCATAACAGCTACTAGTGAAACAGGTGAGGACTTTGGAAGTAATTTAGTTTTTAGTTAGTAATGACTGAGCGTAAGGCGATCGGCAGTCTGGTTTGTGTTACATTCTCAGAATGTTAAAATAGAAAATTTTGTCGCGATCCTCACTCACAACCCAATGAATCAATTCTTTCCACACTTCAGCACAACATTAAAATTATCTATTTCAATAAATAATATTTTTGGCTTCAGTTTAGTGTATAATTTTAAAATAGGAATCATTGCAAAGATATGACCAAGAACTCCTCGTTGTTAAAATAATATTTTTATCTTATTCTATTTTTTCCTCGATTTTACCATAAAAAAGGGGGTGTTTGGGGTTACGAACTTCCTTACGTGGGTAGGTTTTTGAAACCTGAGAACATGCTTGATCAACCAGTCTGCTAATAAGTTACCAACGTGGACGAAAATCACACACACAGTCTTCTTTTCAGCCTCTCAGTGGCTCAGCGGTAAGTCAGAGAGGTTATGACTCTAGATATCGGGTTTCAATACTGGTGGTGGGCACAGCAGAGATAGCCCATTGTGTAGCTTTGTGCTTAATAATAAAGAAAAAGTAGTGATTAAGTGATTTACTTCGTTGTTTTATATTAAATTTTTTTTTTCAAATATTCAGCCGAAGACTGGCTGGAAAAAAGTTTTCCTTCCTTGTTTTTACCTTGGTATGTGTTTCGAAACACGAGTCAAAACCAAATCACTGCCAAGTGGTTTTTAAGAGCTCAGTTTATTTTGTTATAACTTTAATGAACAAAAAAATAAAGCGCTTTTAAGCATTCCTGCATGCAGAAATGTTTAGAAATCATACATTTCATCCAAGTGTGGAATGTTTGTAACAAATTCCCCAACCCTTAACTGACAATTTCTTTACAGGTTACGTTCCTGTGGAAATCCAGGTTGTTTTTAATTGTCATTTGGCGAATAGTGCAAGACAATAACTCTGTAATCATACTTTAATGATTTGTCTTTTGTGACATATTTCTTAGAGCTTTGTGGAGCCACGTTTAGTTGCTGATAAGTTCTAATTCTGTATATTAAATTACTTATTAAGATTTTTCATTGTACAGTATATACGAAAACTGTACTTACTTTCAACTTTTAATCCTATAGGATATTTCGTGTACTAACCTTAGATCTATAAATGTTTCATTTGAAAATGGCGTTTTAAAGTTATGCACAAATGTGCACTAAGAAATTTTCAATTTTCAACAAACTTTTCTCCCACAGATATCAGAAAGATCCTACAGATTCCAATGAAATGAGCACAGATACAAACGCACACCAAAAAGAAAAGTCGGCTACATTTGAACAAGTTTTAAGACAATTTATAAACTTAAATAGGATTGACAAACCCACAGCACTGTCTTCGAGAATTAGTCTAGGACTAATTTTATCAACGGGTAAGTAGCGATATAAAATCCATTACACACTTTTAGTTACATTTATACAAGATAATGCTTTTTATGGCTATGGAGTGAGTGTTAATCAAAAACATAGTAAATAAAAATTTGTTTTCAATTTTTAACATATAATAGGCTTAACACCAATTGAATTTCTAATGAAATCAAATAGCAAATACTTCATGAACTGAGATTTAAACTGCTATTTCCATACTGTATTTGTATAAGGTCTAGTATCTTAATATATCATAAACTAGATATTACTTTGGATTTATAGAGAATTGACATAAACAACAATGGTATAATGTCACATTAATTTAGTGATTATGGAAATTTCACTTTCTATGTAAAATTAAAGATTTGGATATTGCTTTAAACTTAATCAGTTTTTTTCTTTATTTTTTGCTTCAAATAGGTGTCGTAATAGTCATTCTGGATTCACTGCTGATAACCTACGAAAATGACATCATTAACCAAAAAGTAAAAAGTATCACTATTGTAGCGTGTGTCGCTTTTTGTGGAATTTTACCAATTTTTGCTCTATGGAATCAACCTTCTAATCAAAAAAAGGTCTCCTTCAAGGTCAGCATAAAATATTTTGCAGTTTTATTAACTTTCATGATTTATCAGCAAAACAACATTATTATGCAACTGTGAATAGAAAATATATATGCAACGCTTGTTAAACCTTCGGACTGATTACATAAGGCATTATAATGTATAGGCGTAGTTCTCAGGCAAAAAAGATCATATAACTCTCAAATTTTATACAGCTTACCGCGTTTATCTAAGCAATATCTGCCCCAAAGTACTTGATATAAAACTATTAAGATCCACGCTTGATTTTATAACTTGAAAAAGATGGGTAACACTTAAG